TGCTGATTTGCTCTATTGGTCAAAGAATTGTGCAAATTCACAAAGCAGTTGTCGCATCTCTCAATGCTCTCCAAAAACCTGGTCAATCTGCTGCCCTCACTTTCAGAAGATGTGTAATCCATTTAGAAAGTATCAGAGGCACAGCTGATCTCTAATTTCTATGACATGACATCATTTCCTACTACATGCATTTCAGACATCACACAATAATCTCAATGTCCAGTATAATGTTAAATTGTGATACAAAAATCAGAGTGAGTAAGGCTGTGTTAAATAACCTCTACATCTGTCCAGAGCTCCCAAAATGCAGAATTCTGTTATAGTGTTAGAACTATGAACAGAAACAAAACTGCCAATTACAGAACAAAGGATGTAAAAAGTAAATGTGATTGTATTTTAGTCCGCACCACAGCACTGTGCTTGTAGTGGTGCTGCCCACACAGGTACTGGAGCAACTGCTTGTTTTTATGGGTTTTTTTTCTTAACTGGTATTAAAGAATTATTGCTGAAATATGATTGGTTGTTTTACAGTTTCCGTTCATTTATATATGTCAAAGTATTTTTAGTAATATAAGCCTCTTACCGTTGATCGTCTGTTAACAGCGTAGCTAGGCACACACTGCAGAGGTCGCGGAGTATGGGTTCGGACACCACTCTTTGGAAGGACAAATGTCGCTGTTCCTGTGTGAAAACATTTAGCAGGCAGGAAGAATCAGTATGAAGCAGAGCCTTTGTGCAAAAACTAGACTCCAAGAAGTGGCTAGAGTCTAAATAACGTACCCCAAGGTACAAACAAGGTGGAAGTTTCTACTTTAAAGCAGGAATTCCACATCTCTTCTCTGACCTTATATCTTTCTGCTTCTCTGCATTTCTAACTGCCTCTTGTCTCCTGGTTTTAATTTGTAAAAATGATCGGGGCAGTACCCTGTCTCCCTTACAGGAAAGCTCTACTGTAAAAACATTTTCAGTGGTTTTATGGGAAAATACCAGTGGTTATTAGGCCTTGTTGACACCTGTAGTCTGCATAAAATATGCAGACCTGAGCAATGCTGGGATAACCATGTTGCTAAACATAAGGATGCCCCTGCACATGTCTGCACTGTACCTGTACAGCTACCTTATATGCTTTGGTTGACATGATAGCATTTTTTCTAATGAAACCTATACCAAGATGAATATGGAGGAGTCCTAAAAATGTCTCACACAATTTGAGCCCACTGACATGGAAGAAGCATGCAACTAGTGAAAAAAGATGAAGGTCACAACTCCTGGTCTCTTACCAGTTCAAGGCCAATGGCTCAGAGTATACTTTGGATTAGCCATACTTGTATGGAAAGTAGTGTTTTCAGGAGGAGAGTTTACCACTGGCAGCTCACGTGTATTCTCAGCACAGGTTTCCTTTAAGTGCAGAGATACTTCGGCAGCCCTGTGTATTGCCACCACATCACCTGACAGCCCATATGATCTTACCTTGGGTCTGTGTCCGTAAAGGAGAAGATATGAACCTCGGCTGTAGTACCCCAGCTCTGGAGGCTAACCGACTTTTCTCAGTATGGGCAGTGGACAAGCTGTGAACCGCAGTGCGAGATCTGCAATAGCAAAACAACACCACAGAGGACTGACAGTATTAGTAAAACAGCTATGAGAATCCTATTGATAGATAACTCATGCATTGAACCAACCATACTCTCACTGGCAGGTGGACCATCCCTTCTCCTGCTGGGCTCTTTTTTGTGAATGGATGCATGGAATAAGGGTCTTAATCATTAAATTATCTGAATGAAAACTACTTCTGTCTATCACACCATATTCTCCTTTAATTGTTTCTGTAATTCAGAAAAAGCAAGAGAGGAGAGTGGTTAACAAGACTGCTAGAAACTCACCTTGTAGAGGAAGGCTGGGTTATCCGCTGCCTGGGACAGAGACGTCTGGGACCTGATGGGTTTGGTGCTCCCAGCTGGTATCTGAGGGGAATCCGATAACATCTCCTGCATGAGGCTCATGGCGTCTGATTACGCGGTGACTGTGGTGCTCGGACAGAAGCATCCTGAAAACACACAGAGAACACTGCTGGCATCCTGGGAGAAGTGTTTATAGCTACCATGTGTATTTGATGCATACAAGGCCACATCTAACATTTGGAGATTTAGTGCATAATTAGTGCAAGTTGCTTCTCATTTACAACTCATTTACAAAGGAATTTTTTTAAGCAATCACAAAGTGGACCCACAGCCAACTAAATCCAACATACATCTAAAAACAAAACATTTTTATTTGGAATCAGATGAAGTAATGAATGATAAAGAAAACCCTGTGAACTCTGATGTTGTCTGCATCCCATTGAGGAGATTTCCTTTCACATTCTGTCCTGGAGACACAACAGGAGGTTGAGAGGAAATCCCTTCTAAGACAGCTGATACAGGAGCAGGCGTCCCCATTGGAGGATTTCCCACTTCACCTACTATTCTGGTGATGACAGCTGTAAAATTTTGGTGTACACAGACAGTGATATAAATGAAATATAAATAAGAGTAAGGTAATTTTTTTAACCAGCACAGGGGAAAGTCATTAATCACACTGAATTCCCATAATACATCTGTTCCACAGCTTACAGTGTCTTTTTGTGTGGCAGAATTAGTAAACTTTCCCTTACTATTTATCAGCACGTTTCTTAGTTCTACAATCTAAGCAATGTCTAACAGGCAGCATAGACTACACCAAACAAGAGAGTGAACCATGGTTTAAAGGTGGCACCGTTGTTATTACCGCACTAAGATACTGGGTTTAGCGTCCAAAGAAGAATACTATCTGCATTGGGTTTGTAAACTCTCTCTTTGCATACATTTTCCTTCTGGGAAAGATAATGTCAGGAATGGACGGCAATAGTGGGACTCACCTGCCTTATGAGCTGCAGTACCAAGGCTGGCCAGCGGTGTGCTCCCAGCAATCAGAGGACTCAACCTTGCAGCCAGGTCAAACACCTGGAACTAATTATACTGGTGTATTTAATAAGGGACATTCAGACCTGCAGACCTCTGCTCTTGGTTGGAGGTTGTTGTGGGCCCTGTAATCCTGTTCCTGCCTGATTCTCTGCTGACCCTGCTACTGATCCCTGGCTTGTCTGACCATTCTCCTCTCTAGCCTGACCCTCTGTACCACGCTGCCCGCTACCTGCTGAACCTGGCTTGTGACCCCGACCATTCTCCGCTTGCTCCCCCTGTACCTACCTGCCCGATTGATATTGACCCGGCCTGCCTGACGACGCTTGCATTGTATGTACTGTGTTATCTGTGGGTGTTTGGTTTGTTTGCACTGTGTTATGTTTTAGTATTGCACTGCGTTTATGGTTGTTAGTGTTAATAAATTACATTGTTTTATAACTTATCTGAAGTCTGCGTTTCCCTGCGTCAGTGTTCAGGAATGGGACTGGCACAAGCATATAGTGGGAAGATCCAAGGCTGCCTTAATGAGCTGCAGTACCCTAGGGACTGCGGCCAAGCGGTTTGCTCCCAGCATTCTGAGACTGTACAGCCTTGAAGCCAGTCAAACAACCTGGAAACTAAATTAGTATTCTGGTGTAATTGTAAAGGACTCATTCAGACCTGCAGGGACTCTCGGCCTTGGTGCTTGTTGTATCACTCTTGTGGCCCTGTATTCTGTTTCCTGTTCTCTTCGTGTTCCTGTCTGATTACTCTGCTGGACCCGTGCTGTGTCTGATTCCACTCACGGCTTGGTTGTCTGAGACCATTCTCCTCTGCCTGACCCTCTGTACCACGCTGCCCCGCTACCTGCTCCTCTGATACCAGGGCCGTGAGTGACCCCGACCATACTCGCGCTTGCTCCCCCCTATACCTACCTGCCCAGACTGAATATTGACACGTCCTTCCTGAACATGACCGCTTGCATTGTAGTGTACTTGTTATCGTGTGGGTAGAGTTTGGTTGGTTGTTTGGCTCTGTTTTATGTTTAGTTATTGGCCCCACTGCGTTTATGTTGTTGTGATTAGTTAGTGTTAATTAAATTACATTGTTTATAACCATAATCTGAGAGTCTGAGTTTCCGCCTGCGTCAGTAACACACACTCTGGTCATGACACCCGGACGCCCTGACCATTACACCAAGGGCCAATTCTGACCCACGTAAGTGGCGTCGCAAACAGTGGTGATGCCATGCTTGGCTTGTTGATGAGGAAGGATGTGATCTGGGATGCAGGTTGCGTCTATTTTATGATCTTGCTAGTGTTTGATGACAGGGAGTATGCTTATCAAACTCTGAAGGAGTATACCCGGGATGAACTGCTAGAATGTATACGGCTCGCTCATGTTCTAGTAGATCAGGGCACAGAGTTCTCTGAGGTGCAGCCTTTGATTGAGGTTTGTGCCTGAGTTGGTTTCATCTGGTACCCCCGAATGCAGGCGGATATGAATTTTTGCCACCATTTAGTGCAGACCAGGTAGAGTCCCTGGTGTGGTTATTTAGAGGATGATGTGGGTTACTTTCTGGAGCGTTAATTCCACATGTTCACCACAGACACTAAGAGATTGTATAAACGCAGTGCAGTCATTGGTCCAGACAGGCTTTGTGTAAGCTCAGCTTTGTTCAAACCCATACTGCAGACATGGACAGATGGTGTTGCACCCAGTCTCAGGCAGCTTACAAAGACCCAGTCCTGCTTCTAATCTATTTCCTCAAAGCTCTATTCCTGCATTCCCAACAGCTCCTCCTGCCCTGCTATCTACCGCATGTCAGTCCCCTGTTCCCACTCGTCTGCACCTATCCTGCCTTTAACCCTGTAAAAAAGCCCTCTGTAGAGGACTGTTCCTTCCCCTGTTCCATCCTCCAGCTCTTCTCTGTCTCCAGCTGCTCCATTCGTTTGCAGACCTGCGTTTACTTGCAGTGCTCCAGTAGTGTTAAAACCAGAAAAAAGCGAAAAATTCTTTCCAACCAATACCATCCTGCCAGTATCCAAACCGGTGAACCTGCCTTCCGTGGTTCAGCCTGAATCCTCTACTCGGCCTGAAAGCCTCTACTCGCCTGAAGCCCTCTACTCGGCCTGGCCTCTACGTCAGGCCTGCAAGCTCGTACTCGAAGGCCTGATGACTACTCGGCCTGAAGGCCACTTGTCTACTCAGCCTGAAGCCTCTACTCAGCCCGGACGCCGGCATTCAGCCTGATGCCTCTACCCAGCATGATGAACTGATCCCAGCTGACGATCCTAAAAAAAATTTAGGCCAGTTGACTCGATGCCGCTATTGATCCAGATGATCCGGTACCTGATCTGGTGCCCGCTGTCGTGCCAATTGATCAGAGCACGCTGTCGTACCTGGTGACTCGGTGCCCACTGCCTTGCCAGATGACGCGGTGCTCGCTGGCGAGCCAAATGACCTGATGCCGGTGACCCAGTGCCCCGCTGTCATACCTGGTGGACCCGATTTTTGCCCGCTGTCGAGCCAGACGATCCACTGCCTGGTGTGACCCCGGAAAGTTGCCAACTGCCTTGCCAGATGACGCGGTGCCCGCTGGCAAGCAAGGATGACCTGATGCCTGGTGACCCCAGTGCCCGCTGTCATACCTGTGTGACCCGATGCCACTGTCGAGCCAGACAATCCGGATACCTGATGACCCCGGTGCCCACTGTCGTGCCTGTTGACCTCGGAGCCACTGCCCTTGCCAGATGACGCGGTGCCCGCTATCGAGCCAAAATGACCCTGATGCCTGGTGACCCGATGCGCCCGCTGTCCAGCCAGACGATTCAATGTCTGCCCTCAGTGCCCCGCGGTCATTCATGCCAGTTGACTCGGAGCCCACTTGTCGTGCCTGGTGACTCGGTACCCGCCGCTTCGCCTGGGGCCCAAGACCTGTCGCTCCGCCTGGGGGTCCGGCGCCCGCCGCTCCGCCTGGGGGTCCGGCGCGCCCGCCCGCCCCGCCTGGGGGCCTGAGACCTGTCGCTCCGCCTGAGGGGCCGAGTACCCTGTCGCTCCATTCTGGGGGTCCGGCGCCGCCGCTCCGCCTGAGGGCCCGAGACTTGTCGCTCTGCCTGGCGGTCCGGCGCCCGCACGCTCAGCATGAGGGCCCGAGACCTGTCGCTCGCCTGGGGGTCCGGCGTCTGCCGGCTCCGCCTGGGGGGCCCAATGGCCCGTTTGCCCCGCCCGGGGGGCCCGGTGCTTGCTGCTCTGCCGGGGGCCCGATGCCTGTCTCGCCCGCCCGGGGACCCGATGCCGGTCGCCCCGCCCGGGGGGGCCCGATGCCTGTCGCCCCTCCTGGGGGGGCCCGGCGCCCGCCGCTCCGCCTGGGGGCCCGATGCCGGTCGCCCCGCCTGGGGACCCGATGCCGGTCGCCCACGCCCGGGGGTCCGGTGCCTGCTGCTCTGCCCGGGGGCCCGGTGCCTGCTGTTGCCTGCCTGCTGCTCCGCCAACGGGGGCCCGGTTGCCTGCTGCCCCGCCGCCTGGGGGCCCGGTGCCTGCTGCCCCGCCTGGGGGCCGCGGTGCCTGCTGCCCGCCTGGGGGGGCCCGCGGTGCCTGCTGCGACCTCCGCCTTGGTGGCCCACGCTGCTGCTGCTTCGCTCTGGTAATCCGAAGTGCCACTGCCCGGAGTCCAGCCCAGTGTTGCCTCTGCCCGGAGTCCAGCCCAGTGTGCCTCTCTGCCCGATGTGCCTCTGCCCGTAGTGTCCAGCCCACCATGTGTGCCTCTCCGCACGATAGTGCCTTGCCGGAGTCCAGCCCGAATGTGCCTCTGCCCGGAGTCCAGCCCGATGTGCCTCTGCCCGGAGAGTCCAGCCCGATGTGCCTTTCTGCCCGGAGTCCAGGCCCCGATGTTGCCTCTGCCCGGAGTCCAGCCCTGATGTGCCTCTGCCCGGAGTCCAGCCCGATTGTCCTCTGCCGGATTAGAGTCCAGCCCGATTGTGCCTCTGCCCGGTAGTCCAGCCCGATGTGCCTCTGCCCGGAGTCCAGCTCCGATGTGCCCTTCTGCCCGGAGTCCAGCCCGATGTGCTCTCTGCCGGTGTGGTGCCTTTCTGCCCGGTGAGTCCTGCCCGGTGCGCAGTCTTTGATATCCCCGCAGTTACCAGGCCCGGGCGGTGGATTCATTTTTGCCCAGCTAGGACTGTTGTGGAGCGTCCTGAGGCCGCTCCTTGAAGGGGGGGGGGTACTGTCAGGAATGGATATGGCCAGCAATAGTGGGACTGAGCTGCCTTATGAGCTGCAGTACCAGGGCTGGCCAGCCCCGGGTGCTCCAGCAATCAAAGACTCACCTTTGCAGCCAGTCAAACACCTGGAAACTAATGTATACTGGTTTATTTAAGGGACATTCAGACCTGCAGACTCTGCCTTGGTGTTGTGTTATCTCTTGGGCCCTGTATCCTGTTCCTGCTCTCTGTTCCTGTCTGATTCTCTGCTGACCTGCTCTGATCCCCTGGCTTGTCTGACCATTCTCCTCTGCCTGACCATCTGTACTCACGCTGCCCGCTACCTGTGAACCTGGCCTGTGACCCCGACCATTCTCCGCTTGTCCCCTGTACCTACTGCCCGACTGATATTGACCCGGGCCTGCCTGACGTACGCTTGCATAGTCTGTACTGTTATCTGTGGGTGGTTTGGTTTGTTTGCACTGTGTTATGTTTGTAGTATTGCACTGCGTTTATGTTTGTGTATGGTTAGTGTTAATAAATTACACTGTTTATAACATATCTGAAGTCTGCGTTTCCGCTGCGTCAGTCACACACACCTCCTGGTCACACCCGGGAGCCCTGACAGATAACTTGTATAAACCCCAAAATGCTGAAGACAATCGATATTGTCTAGGGAAGTTAAACGGTCAGCTTCTAGGGTACAGGGGGGTTGATGTCAGAGCTATCTAAATGAGTAAACTGGAGTAAATGAAGGCCTGACTTACCGGTCCTTCTCATTTTTTCAATCTCTGGGTTTGCCATATTGATTTTGAGGAAACCAACGTTTGTTTCTGAAAGGGGACAAGCACTTACTGTTATAAAAAGGGAAAAACAATAAAAATAAAACAATTTCCGATGTTTAAGTATTTCTTCAATAGACTTTCACATCAAGCAAAGATAAGATGGGACCCCAGAGCTTGCCACCTTTAAACAAGTCAACATTATGACGGGTTCCCTCTAAAACGAACGTTGAAAAAAAAAACAAGCATATACCTTTTATTACCAAATTGCATTTCTCGGTGTGAACAAAATCAAGTCATAAATAATGGATGAAACTCCACTAGCACGCTGTGTTGTAGCTATGTAGATAAAGTAGATGAAGTGACACAATTCAACACACCCTCCACTTCACATAGGGTGAGGATGTGTATAAACAGTACCATTGTGCACCGTTAACATATATACTCTATATATATATATATAATATATATATATATATAATAATTTTCTTCCTATGACCTTATGCATTGGCATCTTGATTACAGTCTTGGATAATTGATGCTTTATATAATTGAACACTACAGGGAGTTTGCATACTGCTATTAACAACTGAAAAAATGATCGGTTTGAAAAAATGTTGGTAAGCGTTTACAAAAGGAAAGTTGGGAAACAAACAAAAAAAAATAAAAAAATCCGTATTTTAACATATCTGTTTACTCTGCAGTCAATGGGGAAGACAGTATTGTCCTATGTGTGTGTAAATTGTGTTGTAGATTAACGCACTACATGTGTATGTTAGCCTCTGGCTGCTTTATGAAAATATAGTATCACTCTGCCAGCTGGTGAAATACTGTGAACCAGCAGGAAAGACATAGTAACCTTCTTCATAGGTGACCCAGAGACATAGAAAAAGAAGTAAAGGCTGCATTCACACCTGAGTGTTTTCTTAGTTTGAAGCTCAGAGATTTTCTCAACAAGAAAAATCCCATTCATTTCAATGACCCCCTATTCATGCTCAGATGTGAAAGGGGGCCATTGAAATGAATGTGATTTGTTTGTTGAGCATCCTTCCGAGCCACAAATGCTCAAGTGTGAATGCCAGCCTAAAGGAGGCAGACAAAGAGAAAATCTATTTCACGTACAGCTTGGTGGTGAGGATGGAATAGGGCCTTGTGTTCTCTTCTCTCTCAATTCTTCCAACTTTCTTCCTGTATTCTGCCAGGCGCTCCCTTCTGTGTTCTTCTTCATCCACATCCGCAGCCTTCTGCTCTGTCCCTTCTGGCTTTTCTTTGAAGTATTTTGACTCCTTTTCCTGTGAGTACAAAGCAGCTGATGTGCCTTTAAATAACCCCTTTCAGTAAATGAGACAGTGTTGGCTGAGAGTAAATCATGGACCATACATTGATCAAAATTCAGCTGGATTAGCATGGACTGGCAGAGTTTTGATCAGTGTGTGGCCATGCCCACTTCGACAGATCGATTCCTGGTTGAATGGAACATGTCAGGAAAAAACTTGCTCATATCAGTAGCTGTATAGCCAATCGTTTGCAGTCGCTGACCACAATGTTTTCTGACAGCAATGGGATACCACTGTCAGAATACATAATTTCAGTGAGGGGGATTTCTCCATCCACCTTACTAAAAAAAAAATACCAGGCCAGTTTAAGGCCTCATTCACACCATAAACAGAGACCCTATGTGTGTTTCTGCATCTCTCTCTGCAAGGGCAAAAAGAAAACATATTTTTTGTGTGCTGATCCCACTATTGTCATGTGCGTGTTTTTTTTCTGTGCAGAAATATGCAATATATATTGCATTTTTTCTGTGCAGGAAAAAAAACTAGCATGACACCAGCATTGTGGTGCAAACAGGACACACAGAAAACAATTGTTTTCTTTATGTCTTTGCAGAGACTACACTAGAAAAACGCACATCTCTGCACAATGGTGTTTATGACAAACACCATGCAGAATTGAATGACCATAATGATTTTAATTTGTGAGCTTATTTAAATACAAACCCAAAATATTCTGTGCAAGTAAAAAACCTGTCAGCAGTTTGTAAGTACTTATGGTGTGGAAAATCCATTATGAAAATGCAATAAAATATTTCTAAAAGCTGAAACTTTTTACATTGTATAGACAGAATAGGGATCAGGTAAAATAACTGTCAGTTTTTTTTTCTTCTGTGTGTCATTGAGGAGATTCCCATTCACCTCTCTATCCCATAGATACACAGGAAGTGGAGTAAATCTCTCCAGAGGAGGGAAATAACCTCTTCTTAAGACATTTTAATCACGATCAGTAATAATCATGATCAGGGATTCCTAGTACATACATTTTTTCACTTTCTTGGTGACATAGTAAAACGGTTCTTACGTGGAAATGGGGCCTGTGCTTGTGTTTCAGTCAGTCCAAGTTTCTGAAGCCGACACCCCTCCATCTATGAGATCAGTCAGAATGTCCGGCAATGTCGCTGAGCCCGGTCCTCTGGAGTCTGCCTCACTGACAAGTACTGCTGAAAAATCGAGTCAGCTCAGTGCAGCTCACATGAAACATACCATCTTTGGCCATTATGGGCAAGTAATAAATATATAAAAAGTGAATAACTCCCTTGCTTACAAATCCAGGAACAGACACTTTACTGTTCATTTAAAAGGATGTGTTCTCAAAGCCAGTCCATTTGATTAGGCTTTGGTGGGAGCAGCCAAGTGTTGTAAGCAATCTCCAGGGCAGTGAGTGATCGGATGGACAGGTTTAATTTAACTATGCTCCCAATAAGCATTTGACACATTGAAGAACTGAATGCTTCCTTCAGAGCCTAAAGACTGTCGTAC